AAGATTTCAGTCTTCTTCATGGATCGCAAGAACATTACCAGAAGCATCGATGCTGGCTTTGGTCTTCTTCAAACTCTCATCACGCGGGTTCGGTGCCTCAAATATGACACTCAATTCCTCAAGCGTCTTGCCGGCAGTCTCAACGAACCACTTCCAAATAACAAATATTTCGAATGCGATCCAGCAGCAGTATACAATGTCTTATGTCCAAATTGTCAGAATGATAAGGGGATGGACAAGAGATGGCGCTTTTTGCAATGTTTACTCACATAACTTCCACTTGATTTTTGCTATTCCCTCACTGATACCGTAGGTATTGATGACTATCGCAATATTCAAGAAGAGATAGTTCAGTCCTGAACCCTTTGCTCGAGTACGGTTTTCTAGGCACTCGACTGCATATCTACGCTCAGGTGTCAGTATGAGCAAGCCAAGGTATCGTTGGCATGACAGGTCTGCTCACAAAGTCTGGAGTGGAGTAAAACCCCACGCGAAACAGATATTAAAAAGATAAATCGACACTATCACTCCGTAGGACAGATTAGGATGGTTCTCGCTCTGGGCCGAGAAGGCCGTTAGCAGGATGTAAAAGGTAAGGGAGCCAATGAGACCCCAAATCATCATCGTCCGTCGGCCCAGCCTGTCAAGCTGATATGAGCCAACCATGGCCGCAATCATGGCGAAGATGGGATTTATCGCGTTGATCAGAAGCTGCGTGTTGGTGTTGGTGATTCCGGCCGTTTTGATCATTTCGGGCTTACATCGTTAGCTGATTCAAGCGAATACCCCTTGTTTTTTGTTTGACTCACCATAAAGTAGCTAACTACGTTGTTCCCGCTCCATTGCCCGATGAAAGATGTGGCGACCATCATTGTAGTCCTATATCTTGCAGCTCGGGTGTTGAACAGTTCGCGGTAGTCCCACCAGGGGTTCTCGTCTCGGTACTGCGCGGCCTGCTCTATGATTTCGCGGTACTGGAACTGAACCATTGGAGAGTTACGGTCACCTTGTCCGTGGTACTTGGCCATCACATCCAATGCTTCCTCGGCCCGGTCGTGGGCGATCAACCAACGAGGGGACTCGGGGAAGAAGAGAACCAAGCACATGGCTACGCCAGGCATCCCGGCTTGGACGACAGTAGGGATTCTCCATGCCCATGAAGATGTAACATGCTTATTCGATCCGTATGTTGCCCAGCCAGCCCTGTGACAATGGAGGATTAGCATTCTGTCAAGTTATCCGAGCCGTGTTATTAGGCAATTGTGATGTTCCTTCTTACAGGATATTACCAAGCCCTGCACAATATCAGTTTTAGTAAGATCCGCTTCAAATGCTCCGTCAGAGGTGGACTTACACCACAAGTTATTGTACGTTCCAGCCATCACACCTCTGAATGCAGGATGGGCGAGTTCAACGGCATACGCGGGACCTGCGGCCGACGCAATTGATGCGCCAAACCCCAAGACTACACGCCCACCTATGAATGCTGCGAGGTTCTGGGCTGATGTCTGGATAGCCGTGCCGACCAATACAATCGCACAGCCGATAAACATGCACCAGCGTCGCCCAAGGCCATCGGCTATAAGGGGGCAGGCTGGGAACGAGATGATCTGTCCGATCTGGTAAGATATGAACACGAGACCTGTGCTCGATCCAGCCCCGGAGAGGCCAAAGGATTCTTGATATGGTATCATGGCATTGATGCCTCCCATGAGGGAGCTGTCTATAATGACTGTTGTTAGTGCCTGCAGTGTGTAGGGGGGATGTAATCATACCAAAACCATTCATTGTAGAAATCAAATATGAGATTCCCATTATCCCCCATAAAGGCATCATATGCCTAGAAAACAGCTTGGGCTTCTGCTCCTCGATGGCAGCGGCGAGTGCTGCGCTTGCAGTGGTCACATGTATACCTTCGGTCTTGACCCCGCTATCATCAATCGCCAATTCAGGCAGATCATTCGAGGGTTGATGACCCAGGCCATCTTTTCGGGCCTCCTTCGACATAGTTGCTATCGTTTGCCAAGTGTAGTTGAAAGGCTGCCGAATATCTTGATGTGAAGGCAGTGAAGGGATGAGGACTCCCTAATAAGAAGCACCATCGGTTCATGATATCCCGGCAAATAGCCCGGTAGATAGCCCGGCATGGCAAATGCTGGCCACCACAGATGGCACGGGATAAACAGAGCTTGGTGTCCTTGCCATATTTCCCCTTGTCTCAATGTTCCAATGTCACCCTAATACAAATGACCCGCCCCCGAACCCTAAGCGCTCCTCTCAACTCAGTGAGCCATTGTCAATACTGGAAGGTTGCCGAGGGTCTAAAAGGATTGCCATATATACTACCAAACCGAGAAATAGCGTACATCTTCTAGACTACTTCAGGAATCGTGAGAATCCAGAAGAGCTACCCATGCCAGTCACCACATGGGGCCGAGCGGGGAACGCGGGGAAGAAGTCCTCTTTCGAACTTGGCCGGTGCAGCTTTCAATTGGCACTTCTTATTGCATGGCCTTGTTTTCCACTCTTCCTGTGGTAGAGCCGCCGGTGTAGGATGCAAGTGATCAATTCGGCCAGCATGGGTCCCGTTTTCTTGACTCCCGCACCAATGAGCAATACCGCCACTCTGTAGCACAAGACCAACGCTGGGATAGATCCACAGATCAATGACATTCATGTCGTCTCACCAAGTTGAGAACCCCACCAGTCTTGGTAGTATTCAACCTACACATTAGCCGGGATGCAATCACCAATAAACCATAGAGTAATATTCTTGTCAGGTGCTTTTTTCCTCTCTCGTCGATACAGACGCATCTGTCACCCCATTAGTTGGCCAAAGAAAAAAGTTCTTTCCATCTGACTGTAAGGAGATTTCCAGGGCAGAGCGGCGGTACCAGGTAGTATCAGGTCAATTCACATGTTAGAGGTAAAGATAGTCTTAGGTATGTCCCTAGGAGGCGCGGACCAAACGCGTGTAGGTGTGTCCAAGGTATATTCACTCACTCACTAGAAATCAACCAAACATTACAACAAAGCACTCAAAGGGGCGTTATTCAGCAAATTCCCATATGTAACACAGCCTGATAAAAACATAAGATTCAAAAGCCAAGATGGCTATCCGGAGCACGGGTAATAGAAATGTGCCATGTATAACAATTAAGACTTTATATTCGTTGAAACCAGTATTAGGATACTCCATAACAGCAAACGATATCACCAAACCCCTTCAATTTCGAGGATATAAATGACTTTCTTATTACCTCGAGGCCATTTTATCATCCTCCAAGCGACATAAGGGACAAGAGACTCTTGACTAAGTTTTGGATCTGGAACTTGGAACGGCAAATCAGATTGAGGTGTCTGTTTTGGGAGATGGGTCGCCCAACACGTTCCATGTGGTCCCATCTACAATAATATACCTGGTCAAAACACTAGCCAAAAGTTATGCCCTTCTCTAGGACTATATAAACATATGTGCCATTCAAGCAAGTTCTTGCGCCTCGACCGCTTCATCATCAATTTCGAGTAAGAACCAAAGAAAATCATCTATGATTCGCGATATAGTAGGTAGGTCATTATGCTCAATCCCTGCGTACTGGAGCTTAGTATACCTACTTCCTAGTCAGATGTATGTATAAGCCTTTCATGTTCAACAGATACAAGTTCCTGTTTCAGCTACTTTGGCGATGGTATGTGGAGAGGGAAGAGATGCTTTATTTTTCCTTTATATTGCTTTATGACGATTTTTTTAGGATTTAATGACAGGCTTGCTGTGGAAGAGATCAAGTTGAGAGCTATTGCCTGAGGTGTCAATTTCAAAATACGTTGACAGTTGCTTGACGTTTGTTTACCTTTTTCTCACTTTGAATTGTGATTCAGGTGCAGTGATAAGGAGGCCCGAATTCGAAATCTCACCTTCCAATCTACCCTTCTCAACAATTTCTTCCTTCCAACTAGCCAGCCATCCAACAGCAAACCCCTATCCGCATTCATTTCCCATTTAAAGGCTTACTTACAATGCCTGTAACACGTCTATCAAAAAGATCAAGAGATGCTTGGGGCCAACGGTCGACAAAAAGAGTCAGAATTTGGGGAAAGCAAGCGTGGAGACGAAGACGGCGAATGTACTTATCGACCTCCCTTCCTTCTCCAACGCCTCCCAAAAATGGCCAGAACGGTGTGCCTGGGCGATTTAATGGCAATGATATTCCAGGTCACTCAGATAGGGAGCGCCTGGTCCAGGAACGAGACAAGGCGATCCAAGAACGAGATCAGGCGATCCAGGAACGACACCAGGCGATCGAAGAACGAAACGCGTTTAACAAGGTCGTCCAAACCGGGAACCCATACAATTGCCATAACCCTGTTGAATTCGTCGGAAGATATGCCAGTTCAGAGAGCCACGCGCTACTGTGCAATGGTTTTATGAGAAAGTGGGAGGTCGATTCCTCAGAATGCAGAGATAAATTGGAAAAAGCAACCGACCTAAATGCGCGCCACGCAATCATCAAAGCCAGTCTCGATGACATATATCAGCTCTCGCAAGAATTCGATGCTCAAGCGAAATGGATGTCGAGACGGCGCACTTCTCGACCCCTTTGATGGATATGATAGCATCGGATATTTCATTTTGAGGGCAACCTTTGTTTGAGATTGGGATGAGCTAGCTCTAACATATGACAAGGTCCAGATGGTTCCTTGAGACTCCAAGAACCTTCATTTCTTCAAAGAAAAAGAGTACAAACTCGCTAGACACAATTTTACAGCTTCTCATGTTCCTAGGTCATCAGCATATCAATCGCTTGAGTGACCTGAAGTCTCTCGTTCTCCATCTTCCTCCTGTTCATCATCTCCATATACTCCGCTTGTGTCTACACTTGAGCTCGTCGCGGGGCTCAGTTGGGCACTCCTATGGAGCATGTGACGATTCTTCCAATAAGACTGTCGTACGCCCGCGGCTGTCCTTGTAGGGAAGTGAGCCTATAGTTGAAGAGTTGAGATTAGCGATGTTGTCCATTCGTGCCGCGGGAAGCATTCGATCGAGTGGTCTTGCAAATTACCTCTATATTCTTCCATGACAGCCCATCTTTCTTCAATTTAATGAGGAGATTAATCTCCTCCCGCGTCCAGCGCCGGTAATACGAGGAAACCTCGGTGGGAGTCTTTGGCGTGTCCTGCTGAAGCATCAGTAAATAGAACTTATCTCACAGAATCTAGATCGGCCCAGACTTACACGTAGCTCCGATTCGCCCAGAGAAGTCAGTTCAGCTAGTACACCAACAAGATTCCCATCTTCTAATTCTTCCCATGGGGTCTCATTCGGGTGCTCTGGGAGCGGCGTGCGCTTGTTTCGGAGTGCCCTGACTTGCCAGAGCTTAAGAATTGTAACCTTTCGTCGGTGTTTCATTCCGCTATCCATAGCTAATGGAGGTGGTGTTCGAGTCCAAACAATGTATATGAATTGTCAGAAAGCGAGTGGGCAGGGCACAGAGAGAGCGTGTGAGGAGACGATAAGTCAGGCAGCGTGAGAGACAAAAAAGATCAGATGCTGAGAGATTTGGGGGAGAACTTGAGCTGGCAATGGATAAGTGACGAGGTGCTTATATACTTACTGTGCGGATATCACAATGGGGCCAAGGTGATGAACAAGTGAATCGGGCTCTGGCGTCGGGGGAATTCTGAACACCCACCAATTCACCCTCTCTTTTACTTCTGCCTAATCACCTACTCCTCATTATTACTTTCTGTATCTAACCGTTACTTTCTTCATTGTCTGTCTTGGTCAAAACACGATTGCTCGGAGGTGGTGACTAAGGGCACATGTATGGAACAGATGTTAGGCTCTCTTAATGAATATGAATGCAGCCCACGCGATGTTCATTGCATGTTATTTCTATGTTTGTGTGTTTGCGAGCTTGCTTTTTGAAAAGGACAAGAGCCCGTTTGCCATGCATCGTCTCGCCAGCGGATAATCAGCTTGATAGCCACGGATGTGACCTAATTCATTGAACATCTTCAAGTTTCAGGCCTCTGATTACACAATGACCTAAAGCAATCACCAACCCGGTTTCTTTATATCCCCTTTTTTCAATTTTGTTATACTAACGACATGCCGTCTAGCGAAATACGCATATGGCACCTTGTACGACCGATGCATCAAGCCAGGGACGGCTTAAGCGGCACCATTTTCAAGCGTGTTCTTTCTTCACTTAGTTCTGCTCCACCAAATTTCCCTTCTTTATTGCTTTTGACACACCTTGAAATAAGGTACCTTGTCTGAGTCTTCTGGGGTACGCACTCTTATGTTTAGTCGGTAGCCACCTTCAACACTTTGAGTATTCTTGTCCTTGGTGAATGTACTTTACAACCTTTTGAAAACTCTTGACCTTTTTAAAATTAATGAAGGCTATTCGGACTGTAATTCATCCATTGATTAGTAAATGCACCCATTTCAGCCATTGCCATGTTACATTGACGACATGGATCTCGGGGAGTAGGAGTTTGTATAACGTTGCTCTAGGGTAGGTACACACTTGGACGGTCTCGTTGATGAATCAAGCTCAGTTGGAGAATCTACCTGCCTTAGTTAATGTAGGAAAAAGTCTGCGCGAGATGACTAGGTAGTTCTAGTCTAGTGGCCAGATCGGGGAGAACTGCCAGGCTGCATGGAAGTAAAATCGAGCCGGGTCAACTCGAGCATTGCTAATACTTGCTCCATTAGATCACGCACGAACAATGCATGTAAGTAATGGCTGGTAATCCCTGTCTCCCCACACACAAACCCCTCCATCCGCGTCTTAATTCTGCCTAGCCGTAATAAAGTGTTGGCTGGCAATTACCAAGTAAGGCTGGCCAGAGCGCAAGTAACTTTCCATCGAGGGTCGACCGCTTTCGATAAAAAATGTGGCGGGGCAGCTAATAACCGTCATCGCAACCAGGCTTCGTCCTCCCGCGTCTTGTGTCGCCCACCTCCAGCCTCATTGCCTCCCGTCTCCATCAGTGACTGGCTCTGTTGAGATATTTTCCTAGGTTCGCTGCTTCTACTCAATTTTGCATACTCGCTGGTCTGCACGGACCGAATCCTTCCTGGAAAATGGAAGACCAGTTCGGAGGCCGCACCGATGACGATCTCTTTTACGACGACTTCGAGCCCGTCGAGAGCGAACCTGTAGTCACCCAAGAGACTGCAGAGTCTCCTGCACCACCACCAGCTGCCCCAGCCCAGGAGACTCCTGCTCCGCAACCTGCGTCTAGCTCTGCCCCTCCAGCGACGGCGAATCCAGCGCCAGCCAAGTCGGCGCCTAGAGGGCTCGCGTCCTCCCGCTACGCTGACTCTCCTGAGCCCAAACCATCCCCCGCCTCTGCGCCCAGAGAGCAGCAGCCAAAGTCGCAGCCCGAGCCCGAGACCAAGCCCGAACCTCAGCCTGCGCCCCAGGAAGCCGAGAAGTCTCAAGCTCCCAAGCAGACCCAGGAAGCCGAGACGTCCCAACCCCAGGAACCACCACAGCCAAAGCACAAACCTCACCACCAGAAGCGCCAGAAGTCCGCCCCCAACAATGGACCGCCCGCCGGCGCGCCCACCGCCCCGCGGGACAAGTCCCACCGACCGTCGGAGAAGGATTCCCAGGCCGCACCAAAGGAGGCTCGGCTGCAGTCCGGCGCCAACCCCAGGCAGAAGCTCACCGAGGCCGAGCTGACCGCCAAGATGGAGCAGATGAAGATCGTGTCGGCCGAGAAGACGCGAAAGTTCGAGAAGGCCGAGCAGGACGAGAAGCAGCACGCCCAGGCCTACGCGCGGGGCATGGAGGAGGCCCGCAAGAGGAAGGTGGAGGCGGAGGAGCGCCGGCGCCGGGGCGAGGAGAACCAGCGGAAGCTCAACGACGAGCGCGCCAAGAACCGCGAGCGCAAGCTCAAGGCCATGGGCATGAAGGAGGGCGGCTGGGACGAGGGCAAGGAGGCCTTGGCTGAGGAGGAATCACGGAGAGGCTTCAAGGGCGCTAATGGAGGCGTGAGGGGTACACGAAGTGGTGGTGGTCTCGGTGGCAGTCGATATGCGAGGGAGGGCGAGGAAGCTCCAGATGTAGATCGGTTCCTGGAGGATCGAGGTCGTGGCCGGCGGAGGGGAGGAGGAGGAGGAGGTCGGGGGCGCGGTGGCAATGGCCGTGGTGGCCGGGGCGGCCATGAAGCTGCTGGGGAGAGAGCTGCGGAGGTCAAACAGTCAGTCCCCACCACGGACGACTTCCCTGCCCTCCCTTCGGATGGTGCCAAGCAGGACAACTCCAAGTCAGTCCCAGGTCCAGCTCTTACCGAACTGCCAAAGCTGACTGGCGGGAAATGGGATGATGAAATGGCGGATCTCGATGCCGCCAACCAGAAGGCATAAAATGTTGAGGATCGCTGGCTCTTATGCCAAAGAAGCAATGGTTAAACGAGTCGGCATAAAAAATGAGATCCTCCTGAACTAAGCGTTGTGTTAGGAGTCCAACAGCTATCGCTCACGTCAGGCGGCTGCAGCAGTTTTGGACATAAATATATTAAAACAGGATAGTTTGCCCTTGGTATTCCGCAGTTTGGATAGAGCAAAATCATGATACCTCCTAATGTGATATGGACTTTGAAAAGGATGATAAAATCCAAGAGTTGTGCTTTGTGTAGTGAACGCATTGTATGTACTTCTTAAAACGCCAATGATTTATGCATGACCCTTGTGGCAAAGACCAACTTTTGACACGTTGTAATAATATATTGACCCTGCATTACACTAACAAGAGAGGAGCATACTCAAGAACCAATAGACTCCATCTTTCCGATGTTGATCCCGATATATAAACGAACCCTAGACGCCAAGCTTGCATGCATTAAAGAACACTCCTAATCTTCCCCATTTAACTGTCGTCCGCTTTTCACCAGCCTCCGCGATACGATCTGCCGCCCCTTCCGCCTCTGTAGCCTCCTGACCCTCTAGGTCCCCTAGGGCCTCCGCCAGGCCCATCGTCGTCCAGAGGCTGTCGAGCACGACCCTTCATCTCTCTCGGGAAAGCATCGTAAGTCTTGCGCATCTGCGCGTAACCCAAGTGCATCTTTCCGTAGAAGTGGTCCGCGAGGCGGCGATCGTTATCGAGACGACTGAGGTATGCGCCGCACACGTCGCAGACCTGGAGTTTCTGGTGGCCCGAGGGCCCAGACGTATCGGACAGCGCTTTCAGCTCGCGCTCGCGCTCGGCCTTGGCCTGTATCGCTTGTCTGACTCGGAAGAGCTCGTCTTGGGCGCGGGAGACTTCGGACATGGAGCCGAGGACCTCGACTTCCAGGAAGCCATTGCTGATTGACGAGGACAGTTCTGATATGTTCTTGAGCTGTGTGGTTCAATAGAGCTCTGCGGTTAGCAACAATGGCCTTAAATATGATACATAGAAAGGGAATACACAGAGTGGTTAACGTACCAGGACATTTGTCTGACGAATCTCATCCGGCGTCTTCTCCAACCTCCTCTGCGCAGCATCGATCCTTCGGTTGCATTCTTCGATGTACTTTTGCAGGTCGCGCATGTAGTCGTACTCGAATCCGTATCTCTGCTTCTCTCGATCGGGAAGCGCCTCGTATTCCACCTTCAATCCCTCGGCGTGGACCTTGGGACAGGGCCCAATGTCCTGCTTGGTGTTCGTGAACAGGTCGTGCGGGCACGTGCCGGCCAGGTACGAACGGCAGACTTTCGGGTCGTTAAGCGAAAGTTGAGCTGATCGCGACGAGGAGGAGGCTCCCATGAGCTGCTCAAGCAGCTTCCTCTGTTCGGCGGCCATGGTTGCGATTGGTCGTGGAGGGTGGATGGATGGATGGGAGGTTGTTGCAGGCTGCGATCGCGACTCCGGCAAGGTCGAAGAAATTCGGCGCCGGAGGTTTTCAATGGAGCCAGCGCCAGACTCCACATGGCTGGTAGCTCTCTGCCAGTTTCTGACGGTGCCTGCAGCTCCCTGGTGGTGGGGCCATTTTGCCGCCGTCCACCGCTTAACTTTATACGGCAAGATCCAATTCCCCATGCTGTAGGGCGCTCCGTCCGGATTACGGTACCACCCAAGGGATAGTGAATACAAGCTACGTATCTCCAAGTGTCTGTGAGCGACAAGCCACCATCTATCAGGTTGAGATGGGAAACGCCCGGCCTCGCCATTCTTAATATCGTCCACCGGTCTACTCCTTCATTCCATTCCATTCATTCATTATGCGATTCCCCTTGAGCATTTCCTCGCTGCTGGCATCCAGTCTCCTGCTTTCTCCTGCATCAGCATCATCGGGCTACCACGAGCAGCTCAACCTGCGGCCGTTGCCTCTCTCGAACCTACTTGCGAGCTTCAACTTTCGATCGAACACGTCATTGGCCGACTTTGAATCGCAAAACTTCCGTCTATTTCCTCGTTCCTT